TTCTTGTTTTCCATTTTTTTTTTTTTTTTTTTTTTTTTTTTTTTCCGTACATACCTGTACCTGTATACAGCGATAAATCGAACGGGTCGTCGGCTAGCGATGCGCTGTATAGTTGCAGGAAATTGGAATCTCGTGAAATTTCGTTTTCCTTCGGATCGTTTGATTGGTTTTTTTTTTTATTTATTTCTTTTTTTTTTTTCTTTTGCCCATTATTACTAATCGTTATTATCGACCGCCAAAAGTATACGATCTTTGCTTTCGACGTTTGTTTGTCCGCGCCTATATCCGGGCATTACGTCGTCGCAGACTGTAATAATATAATAATATATGTATAATATAGTCGCTGTTATTTGTTCACGCTAATGCTAATAATATTGTCGTTATAACGCATTGCGATAAGACGGAATATTGTTATTATCGACTCGTTGTAATCGCAATGTTTGCCAAAACAAAGCGCGTGCGTTTAGAATAATGTGATCGTTTTTTTTTTTTTTTTTTTTATCAATAACAAAAATGCCGAATTATTGTAAAAACGGCTCCAGATCCGCCCGCGTGCGTCTGCTACTCTTCTATATTATATAGCCTATATACGTCATTAATCGTTTCCGTTCAAATTTCGTATCAATTCGTCGGCACCGTGCGTAAACCGATTAGACGATTCAATAACGTAAAAGTTGGTTTATTTTTGTTAAATCTAACATTTAGATTTAAGTTTTATTAAATTTTGAATTTAATCGAGAATTTTGTGTTAAACAGAGACGTGATGGAATAATGGACTGCGCTTAGAAAGTGTAACGTGATGTCAAGCTGGAGTATAAATGAGACAGCAATACACTTGTGGGCTATCGCGAGAGAATAAATTATTTTATGTTTCTAATTCATGAAAAACATTAATAAGATTACATGTATTATGATTGTTATCAATATGTGTCTTTGGTGTTTTGCGTACAAACGGCTATGGAATAATAAAATATAGATTACTTATTATTCCATGATAACCCCCACAATAATATAATGTAATTCTGTTTCTTTCGTTATGTGACAACAAAAGTCCTGTAGCAGGGGGTTTGTGAGACGCAGTCCGTTCTATACGTATATATACGTATATATGGTGTTAAGTGATTCCTTATCTATTTTCGATATCACTTGGACCCGTTTTTCGTGCATGTTTTGGGCAGTGGTGGCGCCAGAATTTATTTTTAGGGTTGGCCATCCGGGGGCCGTCAAATTTTTACGGTATTGTCAAATCGTTTTTTTTACACTTGGTCACTTTTTACTCGACATCGACGGTTTTCTTTATTATATACTCACAATACACATTCTGGATTTCGCTCGCTTTTCTGAGATTTGACGAGCTTTAGCTACCATAATGTATGGCTTTGAATATTGCGCGTAACATTACCAAGCCCTGCAGTGTTTTCTGCACAAACCGCATGCGTCGGTATTATCGCGCACAGATAAAATCATAAAAAATCACGCGCATTTTTTCACATTTCGCTAATTACAAAAAATGTATTTCGCGCAACGGCCACTCAAATTTATACATACGGCCGTACTTAACGTGGTCCTTGTATATATATACCTACCCACCTTATACACAAACGGCCGATACATATCTATATATTTGAAGGTCGGGTGCAGGTTATTTGTGCTTAAGCGTCTGTCTATATGGGCAGGTATACAGAATGGCTCGCTAAAATAATATATTCATTATGATACAACCGGAGATAACGGATAAGATAATTAATAATTTTGTGCGTTTTTTTTTTTTTTCACCACACGAATATTCGTATTTCAATTAAATGTTTGTGTTACGGTAAATGTGTAAGAAAACAACCGTTTAGTTTATTATTTTCCGCAGATGTAAAGATTTGACGCAGTTTGCTTT